CTTATTTAAATTTGTGTCTCACCACACACCACTGGCCTCGGGTACTCTGCCATGAACTCACTATGTGAATTCAACTTGGAAGTCTCCCCAGTCTGGACCTCAATTCCTTTCCCAATTTAATAAAGTGACCAAACTTACTCAACAAACATGTATTGAGTTTTCTACACTGGGGTAAAAGGAGCATAAGACAGGGATAGCCTTTGTCTTAATGGAGCCTACAATTTAGTAGCATGGGCACATATATGTCCTTTATACATATGTGGGGTTTTTTTCTAGTAAATCCAAAGGGGTGTGTAAATTATTACAGAGGAGAAAGTATAAAGATTCTACTGGATCTACAGGAGAGGCATCTAAGCCAGACTCACAAAATCAAGGACAATTTCCTAGACCTAGTGACATCTAAGAAATGACATCCAGAAGACATCCTGAAATATGAGTAAGAGAAAGTAGAATAGAAGGAAGCAATAGCCCACCCAAATTCCAGAAACTAAAGGATGAGTGATTAATTCAAGAGATTAAGGGAAATTTATATGGCCAAAATAGATGGTGCAAGAAGGAAATAGAGTAAGTCATATTCAAGAATTTAGGTTAGGTCTGTCCGAGATATACAATGTGAATCACACATGTAATTTTAACCCTTCTAGTAGCCACATCTTAAAAAGTAAAAAAGAGCCGAAGTTAAATTTAACAATATATTTTAGTTAACCCAACAGATCTAAAATGTTTTTCAACATGTCATTGATATAAAATTGTTAATATGATATATAACATCCTTTTTTCTACTAAATCTTTGAAATCTGATTTTACATTTATAGTTCATCTCAATTCAGACTCATCACATCTCAGCTACTCAACAGGCATGTGTGGCTAGTGGCTCCTGCATTAGACAGCACAGGTGTAGACCTTATCTTTAGGATAATGCAAAGTTACCAAAAGGCTACAATGGGGGATGGTGTATAAAGATCACCCAGGCTTCTCTGTGGATAACGGATTTGATGGGAAATGGTGGGAAGCAGGGAAACAAGAAATGAGGGTATTATAGAATCTACAGGAGACATAGGGTAATGGCAGGGAGAATAAATAGGTCTCAGTGGAGTCAAGAGATAGTTTGGAGGTAAACTTAACCATTTTGGCATGCACGTTAGCCTATGGAGCACTCAGATCTGAGAGCTACTTCACAGGGCATACAGATGCATTCACTTTTTCCTCTCTGACCTCCTCAAGCTGGAAGCCACAGACCTGTGTGAAAAATCACAAAGGCCAACTGGGTTTCCTAGGACTCATGCAGGGAATGGTTTGGGTGCTGTTTTTACCCTTTCTTTTCTATCCAGAGTGAGATAGAAGGATGGTCCAGAAAGTCTTAGAGTAGTTATTGCCTTTTTCCCCCTGTTGCTGACACACCGAATCTAGAAAAGGGGGGTGGGTGGGAGGAGGGAACAGATGGAGAAAACTGCTTCTTAGGGGTGATTACAGACAGAGAGGGGCTTGAAGAGACATCCCTGGGTCCCATATTTCTTTTGCCACCAGTAACTTCCAAATCAAATGAGCCCAAGCTTCAGATCAAAATGAGATTTTTCTTATTGACTTCCCTGAAAGCTTAGCAGGCTCTCTGCAAATCGAGTCATGTGTGTCCTGCATCATCATCAACCATTGCCGATTGCAGGGATGTTGGAACCGGGCTGATCTTGGCAAATATGTCACTGATGCATGAGGCCAGGGAAAATCCAGCTCTTATTGGCCTGGCAGTGCTGACCTGGTTTGTCCATAAATGAAGAGCAAATGCAATTTGCAAAACACAAAGAACTGATAAGGGGTTACAGTGAGGTGGGGCTGGAGTCATATTTCTAAGAGCAGGCATGCTTGAAGAGGAGGCAAGGCAGATTTCAAGCTCCAAATTTGACAGGCAGTGTTTCTTAAAGTCTGCTCTGTATACCACCTTTCTCATAATCACCTGAGGAGTTTGTGAAGAATACTCATATCTGGGTCTAACCCTAGGCCCACCAAAAGAAGAGTGTCTGGGGGCAGGGCCTGAGGCACTCCGTGTTTAACAAGCTCCTGGATGATTCTTATGCATGTTAAAGTTTGAATTCCTTGAGGAAAGAAAGTAGGACAAGGGTATTTCCACTTGTGTTTTGGAAAAAGCACTGAACTTGAAATCAGTCTACCTGGTCCTCCATCCAGACTCTGCTGCCAACTGGCTGGATGACATCATGGTGAGGGGAATGAAAACAGGATGTGAAATCAGAAGGGGGCACAGGCCTACCTCCTTCACATAAGAACTGTGTGATGATGGTTAGTAACTAAGCTAAACCTCACTGTCACCCCCAGAAATTGCAGACATGGGCTCAGGTGACCTTGAAAAATCAAGCTCTGACATTCTAGCTCTGACACTCTACATCTTTAAATCACCTAATCCCAGTTCCTTCATCTGTAAAATGGGCAGGTTACCTTCCACTGGGGCTAGGCTATTTTGGGGATCCAGTGGAACACTTTATATATTTTGAAAAAAATTCAAAAAGTTGACACAAATATGAAGTGGTGGTATTAACCCATAACAGAATTATCTTTACTTAGGATATTATTTGTTTTAAGACTATTTCTATACTGATAAAGTCCCCTGAAATCACAGCATTTTATTTTTTAACAAAGCACAATACAAAGTACAAAAAGGTAGTTTTGTTCATTTACTATAAATCACACTAGTATGAAATGAGCCAAATTAACCTCTGCTGACTGTCTCTTTAACACTACCACTAGCCGTGGGGTACCTGAGTGGCTCAGTCAGGTAAATGTCTGACTTCAGCTCAGGTCATGATCTCACAGTCTGTGAGTTCGAGCCCTGCCTTGGGATCTCTGCTGACCACTCAGAGCCTGGAGCCTGCTTTGGATTCTGTGCCTCCCTCTCTCTCTCTGCCCCTTCCCCTCTCACACTCTGTCTCTCTGTCTCTCTCAAAAATAAATAAACATTAAAAAATGTTAAAAAAAAATACTACCACTAGCCTTGCAAAGACAGAGAGACTGACCCCAAGATAGTCCAGATTTTCTGTCCATGTACACACAAACAAAAACAAAAACAAAATCCTCATCCATGGCCATAACTTAACTTGGCATTCAAGCCTATCAATAATTTGGCAACTATCTCCTTACATGTAACCAACACTATCAAAATTTGATTATTTGATAACATGCCTTGTGCTTTTCTACTTCACAACTTTGTGTTTATTTCACGCCATATCCCTGGTTTAAAATGTCTTGCATCTTACTAAACACCCTCCTATCAAACTCCTACCTAGCATCATGCATATATGCAAAAAACACACAAACAAAAGCATAGTTGATGACCTAAATATCCAACAGTAAGGATTGATTAAATAATAAAGTCATACAATAAAGTACTATATACCAGTTCATATACTGTTGTAAAGAATATTTAACAGCATGGAAAGGCAATCATGACATACTGTTAGGTGAAAGTACCCTTTAAAAAACTATCAACAAGGGGGCACCAGTGTTAGCTCAGTTGGTTAAACCTCCAACTTCTGCTCTGGTCATGATCTCACCATTCTTGAGTTCGGTTCATGAGTTCAAGCCCTGCGTCGGGCTCTCTCCTGTCAGCTCAGAGCCTGGAGCCTGCTTCAGATTCTGTGTTTCCCTCGATTTCTCCCCACCCCCGACTTGCACTTTGTCTCTCTCACTCAAAAATAAAAAATAAGCACTAAATTTTTTTTTTTTAAATCATCGATAGATACAGTATAGAACATAGGAAGAGGACACACACTGTGTTGGCCGGTCTCTAATTTTTTATCACGCCATAGGAAATTTATTGTATGGTCACACAAAGAAGAAAGGGAAGGCAAGAAATGTCTTAGCACTGACACAGCCAGACCTCACAGAGAACTGAACCCCCTGCTAACTGTTCAAAACTGTGATATTGTTCTGCAAGAGGTAGCCAGATACTCCAGGGACTGACATTATGTAATGAATGCAGCTTCTCTCAGCCTCTCTGCTCTCTCAGTGTCTTTCTACTGCTCTCTGTGTCTCAAATTCAAAACATAAATGTGAGGGTCTGATTCAGTCAGTCAGTCATCACCCAATATGGAGCCCCTGCACTGGGAAGAGCTCTTAGGCCAGCCCATTTCATGGCCAGTGGTCTGATCAGCCGATAGACAGGTGCCTGTGGCCTTGATCCAATTAATTGCTCATGTGCAGGGTGACATGATCACATGACACAAAACTGGAATGCACACATCAGGCACTGCCATGGCTGTTCCTCTCAGAAGCCACTGAAAGCATGGCTACCCTCAAAGACTCATGTCTCCTCTCCAGTACATTCATCAAATAATATCTGCTTTTTTGCCTAAATGGTGAGGGAGATATGAATCCATTAGATTTGGCTCCCTGTGACAGAAAACCAAAAATCATAATGATTTAAATACATGGTGGTTTATTCTCCCTAGTGGAAGAAGTCTGGAGACGGGCAGTCCAGAGCTGATATGGCAAGCCACAAAGTCATAGGAATTCAAGAACTTTCTAACTTTTTGCTCCTTAAACCAGAACATAGTACAGAAGTCATTGTTTCTGCTAACCAATAGTCTTTTCTTCTATCATTTCAAACCTGTGGTAGGATTGCACTTCCCTCCTTCTTTGAATTTTGGTGTGGCATGATAAAGGATATTGTGTAATCAACCAACAAACATCTTACACAAAACATTACTCACTTTTATTACACTTCACTTTTATTTACATTTTCCTATTTTTTTCTGTAAGACCTGTAGCAATTTCATATAAGAAAAAAAACACTGGCAACCTCTCATTTATCCATTAGGACAGCTGAAAGACCACCTATTTCATGAAGGCTCCCTTTATCAACCAGTAGAAGCCCAGTCTCCCTCCTATGAGTTCTCTTTAAATCTTAAATCTTGCTTGTCATACCCCCCCCTTTTTTTTTCACATTTGCCTGTGTTATAGCTACCTATGTGAGTGCATGCCAGGTCCCCTACCTGATCATAGTTTCCTTGAGGGCAGGGTCCAGCTCTTATTCTCTTCCATCTTCCAAGACATGGTTGATGCTTGGCATGTGTTCTATACTGGAAGAAGAGAAAGAAAAAAGAAAGAGAGAAGGCTGTTATCAAATACTATTTATTTTGAATTTCAAATTGAAACAGAAATGAGCTAATCCTTCCTCCAGAGTAAACACATTAAGGAAGTACCTAAGTGCAAGACACCAAGTTCAGGTCCTTGACAAAGAGAATAATTTAGACAGAAAGCAAGCTCCACAGGCATTCAAGAGGTAAAATGATGCAACACAAGCAGAAATTTATGAACTGGTTGAATTTAGGTATGATCAAACTTAGGAGGCACATGGACAGGTTGTGCTGGCAACTGAATGTCATGGAGCATGGCACAAGACTGTCTTCTGGAGTATACCAGAGCCTCCCTCCACACTGCCCAGGCATCCTAGTTACCTTGTACGTGAAACTTCTTTATAACTAAGGGCATGGTATTCATCAGTGACTGAAGATCCTGAAATATCATCTAAGTAAATATTCATACAAAATTCTAATATACAACAAAGAGTGCTGTGGGAAGAAGCTGATGTACTGGCATTACCCTCTAGGCAAAAATATTTTATTTAAAAAAAGTTTTTTAATCTATATTTATTTTTGAGAGAGAGACAGAGAGACAGAGTGTGAGCAGGTGAGGAATAGAGAGAGAGGGAGACACAGAATCCGAAGCAGGCTCCAGGCTCTGAGCTGTCAGCACAGAGCCCGATGTGGGGCTTGAACTCACTGACTGCAAGATCATGACCTGAGCCAAAGTTGGACGCTTAACCGACTGAGCCACCCAGGTGCCCCTAGGCAAAAATATTTTAAAGGAGAAGTAAGAGGGGATTGAAAATGTTCTGCATAACTGAAGCAGGGAAAGGGATCCTTCTTCTGTAATAGGGATCCAAAATAATAAGTGTGAGTTAACAGTGTGCACTTGTTACATGTGCTATATACAGTGCACTATGGTACACATGCATTGGCTCATTTTATCCCTACAATGTCCCCATGTGATGGATATTGTTTTAATCCCTATTTCTAAAATGCAAAAACAAAGGAACTCAGGGATTTGAGGTGATTTTTTACACTAATGTTACCATTTAATGGTCTCTCTGTATGTATACCCTGTGTCAGGTGACTTTGTGCTCCTCTCATCAAAGGATGGAATCTCTTTCCCCATTCCTAGGGTCTAGGCTGATCTTGTGACTTGCTTTGGCCAAAATAATTTTACAGGGGTGACAATATGCTGGTTCAGAGCCTGTGTGTTAAGAAAACTTGCATGTTTCTATGATCTCTCCTAAAGCTTTGCTACTGCATGTGAAAACCTGGGGTAAGCCTGCTATCTTATGAGAGGAACATGGAGAAGAGCTGAGTCATGTTACCTGACTCGCCAGCCCCCAGTTGACCCACCAGCTGACCACAGGCACATAAGTGAGCTTTGCCAGGATCAGCAAAACCTCCCAGCCAATCTCTAGATTCTTGAGCAAAAATAAATGTTTATTATTGTGTGTCACTGAAGTTTTGCAGTTGCTTGTTAAGCAATATTATTGTGGCATTATTGTAGCTGGTAGAAGGAGAAATAAGCAGTTTCTTCAAGGTCACTCAGCTGGTAAATGGCAGAGCCAACATTTGAACCTAGTATGTCTACCTTCAGAGGCTGACATGCATGGGGAAGACCTGAGAAAGAAAAAAAAATCACTTAGTAAATCTTCAAAGTTCCTCAGGATCTCCAGTCTCCAAGTCAGAGGCTCTGTGTTCAGTCCTGAGGTTCCAATTAACAAGTCCACACTTCTGGACCCTGGGTTCCTTATCTTTTATTTGCCTCCAAAATTTTATTTAAATTCCAGTTAGTTACATACAGTGTAATATACAATGTAATATTGGTTTCAGGTGTAGAATTTAGTGATTCATCAGTCACTTATAACACCAGTGCTCATCACAAGTGCCCTCCTTAATGCCCATCACCCATTTAGCCCCTTTTCCCACCCACCTCTCCTCTTGTAACCATCAGTTTGTTCTTTGTAGTTAAGAGTCTTTCTTGGCTTGTCTCTCTTTTTCCCCCCACTTTGCTCATTTGTCTTATTTATTAAATTCCACATAAGAGTGAAATCATACGGTATTTTTCTTTCTCTGACTGAATTATTTTACTTAGCACAATACTCACTAGCTCCATCCACATTGCTACAAATGGCAAGATGTCATTCTTTTTTACGGCTGAGTAATATTCACACACACACACACACACACACACACACACACCACGTCTTCTTTATCCTTATATCCTTATCTTTAAAATGGGCATGATAATACTTCTTTTAATAAGATTCCTGTTAGGATCCAATGAAATACCTGATGTGAAAGCGTTTCATAAATGGCTATGCAGATGCTGACTTCACATTCTCTACTACTGCCAACAGCTCTACAAGCCAAGACTGCTCTGCCTGAAGGGGCTTTTCTAGGAATTCCTCTGCTCTACTCCTGCTTAATTGTGGTATGAGTGCACCTGTGGAGGACAGGGTAGTCGATCCTTTGTCTTTATAGCATTTCCCTTCCCACAGCAGGAAATATTTAGCTGAGTTCTAAATGAGAGAAAAGGAAAGGAAGGGGGAATAACTTAAGCTGCTAGCAAACTCACAGCAACCCTTAATGGTGATTTAATGCTGGGAGATCTAGCTTGCCACAAGATTGTGACAGGACTGTATTTTGTTCTGTCGGGGTTAGGTGAATGGTAGAGTGGCTGTATTTAAAGGAAGTGGGGAGAGGGTTGTAGAAGGGCCACAGATCATGTATCTCAGAGCATGGTCTGGATTATAAGCAGAATTAAAGAGACATGGAGACTAGGAGATGTCTCAAGAATGACTTTTGAGGTAGGGTGTTTTCAAGGAAGGATAAAAAGGAGGGTCAGATTATGCCTAACTTGCATGTAATCCTCTTAGTTCTAGACTAAATTCTTCCTTCCTGCATGTAGCCCCAAAACCCACTTGGGCAAAGCCTTTACAGAGATCATGTAGCTTCCCTGATGGTTCTAGACATGGTCTTAGTGTCCAAAACTCAGGATTCAAAATTATGAAGTGTCTGTACTTGGTTCCTGTTTTCATCTTTTATACATCTACATACTTTAAAAAATGTACTATCATTTAATGTTTAACCCCAAATGCTACCTAGTTTTATGTACATACCAGTCTGCATTCATGTACTCATTCATCAAACACTATTTGTACCCATCTGTTATGTGCCAGGCTCTATGCTGGCCCAAAGGACACAAAAATTAATGAAATGAGCTACTTGCCCCCAAAAAGAGCTCAGCCCATTAAAGAGGCATAGCTAGGGGTGACTGGGTGGCTCTATTGGTTAAGCATCTGACTTCAGCTCAGGTCATGATCTCACAGCTCGTGGGTTTGAGCTGACATCGGGCTCTGCGTTGACAGCTCAGAGCCTGGAGCCTGCTTTGGATTCTGTGTCTCCTTCTCTCTGACCCTCCCTGCTCATGCTCTGTATCTATCTCAAAAACAAATACAAAACATAAAAAATGGGGGAGGAGCCAAGATGACGGAAGAGCATGGAAGGTTTTTTTTTTTGTGTCTTGTGTCCATGAAATACAGCCAGACCAACACTAAACCATCCTGCACACATAGAAAATAGATCTGAGGATTAACACAACAACCTGCACAACATGAGCCACAGAATTCAGCTGGTATGCAGTGCGGAGAGGCGAACTGGGGGAGACAGAAGCTGCAGAGGGCAGGGAGCTGCTTTTGAGGATGGAGAGGCGGGGTGTGGGGGTGGGGAGGAGGAGAGGGAGGAGAATACAGGAAAAGCTGAAAGGAGAGGGTTTAAATTCCATTAAGACTTTATAAACAGGCAGAATGCAGATTCTGAAACTCTGCAGGTCCATACATGGTGGTGCTCTGGTGGAAAGGGCTAATCCCCAGGAGCAGAGTGAAGTCCAGAGGTCTTAGGGGCACATGGGAAGAGCAAGTTCCCCTGCTGGGAAGACACTGGTAGAGGCTGTGTGACTCTCCAAAAGGCAAAGGTGCCAGTGGACCCAGGAGAACAACCACATTCACTGGTGCTGGAACAAGGTCACTGGGGGTGAAGCCTGGTGCCAGATGCGTGTTGTGATTTGCCACCATCCCTGAAATGCTGCTGCTACACAATAATGTGCACTTTTTCTGGAGTGGGCTGGCACCCAGCCACAGTCTCTGGACGTCAGTAGCAGCATAATACCACAAACATTCAGGGTGCGGCCTGCACCTGGCCATTGCTCGGGAGATCCTCCTGCAGAGGCACAGAATGCATCAAAGCTGCAGTCCCTCAGAAATAAGGGGTCAGGAAACACAGCCATATCCGAGATAAAACTCAGTAGGGAGGTTCTGCCTGGAGCTTGCCTACGGATGGTGTAAAAGCGGGGAGTGGATGGAAGTCAAAGACAAGGGATGATTGTAGGATTGCTGATCTGGGAGAGCGCAGTTCCAATACTAGAGACCTGGTAGCTGGGTGATGCCATTTTCACTGCTCCTGTGCACGCACATACGCACCTATGACTGCCACAACACTCCACCCCAGTAGGCTAGCAGTGCCATCTAGAGGAGAGCAGAGTTACACTAAGCCCCACCTAACTGGGCCAACCACGCTCTTCAGAAACACAAGTCTCTTCACCTGCTTAGTTTATGGACTATAAAGTGCTTAATAGTTTGACTTCTAGGGGAAAACAAAGTGATTTCAGTCATATTTCAGTCTGTTCACTGGTCCATCTGTTTTCTTTTTTTTTTCTTTTTCTTTTTTCCCTTTTTCGTTTCTTTTCTTTTCTTGAATATAGAAAGAGAAAAAAATCATTTTTATTTTCAATTTTTATTAAAAATATTTTTCTTTAATTTTTTTCTACTATATTTTTCACTTTTGTGTAAATGTTTTCAAATCCTATTTTACTTCCATCATTTCATTTTACTTGACTGTAGTGTATTCACTTTTTCAAATTTTCAAATGATTTGCTTTTATTTTCCTTTTCCCTTTTTTCTCTTATGTATCAAGCCCCTTTCAAC